GTCTCACACTGGAGACGTTACTGGGCCCGCTCGAGAAAATCGATGAACAACGGTAGGACAGTGACATTTCAGTGACATTATTATTATTACTATTATTATTATTATTATTTACAAAGCATAATTTTTGATGCCTTCTGTTTAACTCGTCTTAGTGTTCTCTCAAGCTACCTATTCACAACTTATTTTTTCTAATTCTTTATTGTTTGGGTCCATAATTAGCAGTGCTCCGGACTTACTCCTGGATCTGTGCTCAAGGATGACTCCTGGAAGGCTTGGGGGAACATATGGATTGTCAGAGATCAAATCCAAGACAAATGCCCATTTATATTGTGGAAAATCACATGATTTTGTACTGTCTTAAAGCTGCATGCCATTATATATATATACATAAATATAATACAGCATGCCATTATACACACACATCCTTTTCCCATTTTGGATAAGATCATTAGATTATTTTGTTCTTGAGTTTGCTGAGTATTTTATAGGTCTTTCATATAAACCCTTTGTCTTATGTTTTGTGTAGAAATATTTTATCCCATTTAGTAGAATGTTTCCCAATTATAGCTTGAATTTCTTTTGCTGTGCAGAAGCTTTTAATTTGATGTAAATCCATTTATTTTTATTTTTGCCTCTGTTGTCTCCATGGTCATCTCGAAGACTTCTCTGCATCCAATTTCCCGGAGATTTCTACCAATGTTTTTTTTCAATGTATTTTATAGATTCTGGTTTAATCTCAAGATCTTTAATCCACTTTGAGTTTACTTTTGGGATGTACTGTTCTAATTTCATATTTTCACATTTGGCGATCTAGTTTTTCCAAAACCATTTTTTGAAGAGACTTTCCTTCATATTCTTAGCTCCTTTGTTATAGATAAATTTTCCATAAATCTGGGCGTTTAATTCAGGACATTCAATCATTATAGCTGCTTTTAATAGATATGCTCCAATTTCACTTCCAACCAAGACACTAATATATATTTCTCTCTTCTTATAAGTTACTAAATTTTAATAACCTCTTTAATTTCTTTAGGGAAATGACTGTAAAAACACCAGTACTCTTAAAATTACACACCACCACCAACAAACCAAAGCAGAAAATAATTTGTGTCAGTGATTCTACCCCTTGACTTCTAATTAGAGACTTCTGGAGAGTTATATGAAAACCCAAGCTGAGGCTTTGATCAAAACCAGTTCCCTCCGAATCCCTGGAGATGGGACCTAAACATGAACAATCATTTTTGAAAGCTCTACCAGGTGATTCTGTGTAGAGATGAACACAATTATTATATGTGGTTGTCAAATTCTATATCTGATAGAACTTTGTTGGAGCAACTTTCACCAGAATGTTTGTGGACCACTCAGCTTAATCAGAACTTCTTTCCCAGTTTCTTTTGTTCTTCCTATTCATCTTCCTCTCTTCTCCCTACATGCCCCTTACTGCTACTCACCTGCCTTCTGCAAAAGCTTAACGTTATTTGTCACCCTGCATAAATCCTTCTCTTCAATAGCCTCCATTTCAACTAATACAAAAAACTTACAATAGGAGAGATTCTGGTTTAGGGATTGGCTGTTTGGTCTATAACATAGTCTCTGATAAAAATTCCTGAGATTTGGGGGGAATCTTAATCATTGTTCTACCCTTATCAGATGTTCAGATTCTGAACCTGCTGACCAAAGAAAAGATTTTCATTTTGTGATCACCTTTATTGATCAGGGAACTTCTCATTGCCAAAAAATATTCTGGGTTTATTACCTTTCCTCTCAAATTACAGCAGTGTTGAACATCCTCTTTATTATCAGCAGGATGCTAAATTATCCTATGTTCCATTGTTAAACTCCATTAAGGACAAAAGTTTCATAAGTTGTATTTGTGGAGTTGAGTGACTCTGGAAGAAAAAATACATAAGCATTGTGGGAACGAAAAAAAGTTGCGCTGAGAATCCCATCAGTATACATGATAATAAATTGATGCATATTCTTATTTGTGTGAGATATATATATATATATATATTATTTATTTGTTGAATCACCGTGAGAACAGTAACAAAGCCTTTCAGTCCAAGTCTCAATCAGTCATACAATGATCAAACACATGTCCCTTCACCAGTGCACATTTTCCACTACCAAGAACCCCAATATAACCCCCTCCCACCAACCTCCCACCTGTGTGGCAGATTTCCACTTTACTCTCTCTCTCTCTCTCTCTCTCTCTCTCTCTCTCTCTCTCTCTCTCTACGTTGATCACATTCAATATTACGACAAAAGAACCACAACTATTATTTGGAATTTTCCCCAATATTCAGACCTGCCACAAAGACATCATTAGAATGTTTGTTTTCTAATGTTGATTATGAAGAGCATATGATGTTGTATGGCCAATATAGCGGCCACGCGAATTTGGAATTCTAATATTTTAGCAATAAACCTAGAGGGATTACTGCAAGAAACCCCTGTTTTCCTAGATTAGTATGTGGGCCTCTGGGTTCATGGTCAGTCAGAAGCCAGAGGAGGCATTTGAGGGTGGCAACCCGGAGCATTGTCATGGTGAGGAGCAGGGCCAATTCCATCCCCAATCCCATGAAGCCCCACGTGCCTCGTCAATGCAGTCAAATACCTAGCTTTTCATTAGGCTCTAAAGAATGCAGGACACCATGTCGCCGCCGCAGAGGGGGACAGGTGAAGGGACAGACACCCTTCCCCTCTCAAGGTGGCATAGCACCATAGTTAAATACATAGTCCAGATGCATTTCGGTTTGGCATTATCTTTTGCTCAGATTTTACTACCACCTTCAAGACTGATTTTCAGGGAGAAATGTTGGATGATTTACTTTCCGTTGATCACTTTGCATATAAGGAAATGTCGCGTGGCCTTGTAAGAGGCTGTGCGGTTTGGAAAACATGTCCTGGTACCTGCATGCCAGAGTCATGCTTGTAGAAGCTCATGGTCACCAGGATTCCATCTGGAGAAGGCGGGGATACAGCACCTACCCTACCTGGGACCTCCCAGTGATATCGGCTCTATTTGGGGCCCGGAGCATTCTCCGGGAGCTGTGGGCCCCTCCAGCCGGTTTTATTCTTTGTTGCTGTGTGCTGTAAGATGGCGCTGGGGGGCTAGTTGTGGGCGTGACTTCTGGAATCAGAAGTTGCCTGGGAGCCGGGGAGGCCCCATTGCAGTTCGGAAAAAATGTCCTGGTACCCGCATGCCAGAGCCATGCTTGTAGAAGCTCATGGTCACCGGGATTCCATCTGGAGAAGGCGGGGAGACAGCACCTACCCCATCTGGGACCTCCCAGTGATATCGGCTCTGTTTGGGGCCCGGAGCATTCTCCGGGAGGTGTGGGGCCCTCCAGCCAGTTTTATTCTTTGTTGCTGTGTGCTGTAAGATGGCGCTGGGGGGCCATTTGTGTGAGTTTTAATAGCAGTGCACTACTGTGGAATTTTCTTAGATATAGGGAATAATGTTCTTTGCTTTATTCCAGTTCCTGTTAGCTCTCCCTTTCTTCTGTCACCCCTTCTCCTCAAAATAATTTCTGAAGCTAAATTTGCAACATATGTGTCTATGGAATATAACTGTAATAAAGTGTTTTATGGGTTGGTGGAGTTAGGAGAACCCATAACTTCCTTCTCAGGGTTCCCTGTTATTTCTCGCTAAATATAAGGAACTTCTTTTTAAATTGTCTGCAAGAGACTTTTTAATAGGCCCTCCCTTTATTTCTGTGTTGCCCTTAAAAACAGTATTTTTAGCTTTAAGCTTTGGGTTTCTATTCTTCATGCCATCTCCTAGCCCTAGTCTACATAAACTTCTATAAGTGGAGAAGGTAGCAGAAAATGTCCTAGTTATCAATCTTTTTTTGGTGTTTACATCACACTTCGCAGTACTCAGATCTTATTCTTCGGTCTGTGCTCCTGGGTCACTTCTAGAGGTGCTCAATGTACCTTATTTGATGCTGGGGATTAAACAAAGGTTAGTACCAGCAAGGCAAGAACCTTTTCAATGTACTATTTTTCCTATATCCCTTTTGAATCCTTGCTAAAAGAGCAACAGTTAGATTTTTTTGTACCTTAAGATTCTAATCTGTAATTAATAACAACAGTTTATATTATTGCATCCGATAAATATTTGATGAAGGCCTACTTGATAGACATTGTACTAGGTAGTAAGCAACAACAACAAATACTCTCTCAAGATTTCTGTACTGTTCTGTACAGCTATTTCTTTGTCTGCAAATATCTAGAGTCTGTGTGCCCTGCTGTATGATCTTTATGCTGTAACTTGCATTTTGAGTTTCATTTCATCTTTTATAGAATATTTCTACTATCTTTTCCACCCTACATAGTATCAGTATCACTATCACACAGTTGTGAATGTTTTCCTACTTTTAAAAATATTCCTCAAAGGATTCCACACTCTCACCTTTATTGCCTACCAAATAAAGTCCTCACACCATATCCTGTCATTCAAAGTCCTCCATGATCTGGCTACAACCTACTTTTGGAATGTTATTTTTCAACTGTTCCTTTTTATGGACTCTATGTTTTCAACTACACCTCAACTTGGAAATTTTGCCTGGAATATTCATCACCAACTCTGCCTGTAAAAAGTCTACCCACCTTCAGAGCCCAGGACATGCACCCTCACAACTAAGGCTCTCTTTCTCATCCTAATTTGCACTTCTCCTGTGGCATAAATCATATTATGCCTTGTCTTACAGTCTGCTAATTTACTTCTTAACCCCAATTGTGAGATTCTTGGGAGTTAGAAGGCATTAGCTTTTAAAGCTGTTTTCTCCCTCAGCAGTTTATCTGTAAATCTAGTTTAACTACCTATAAGAAGAGAGAAAAATATCTGCATATTGCCAGTACAATTTTACTTCTGTACTTCTGTTGATGTTGGTAGATATGCATTTAATATAAGAGTTCATCACTTATAATAATCAGATGTTTTTTAATTTTCACAGGTGGGTTTGGGGCACTAAACCTGTTCTTATATTTTATAGAGACACTCTTACCATCGCTCTTACTATGATCCTACACCAAGCCGACAGGCTGGAGGTCTGCCCCGCTTTCCTGGGGCCAGAAGTCACCGAGGAGCTCTTATAGATTCCCAGCAAGCTTCAGGCACCATTGTTCAAATAGTAATTAATAACAAACACAAGCATGGACAAGGTAAGGGGGATATTTATTTTGCAGTGAATTTATAGCAAGTTTTCAGTATCCCTGGTGTATGGAGTACTAGCACTAAGAAGAAACACTTTCTCCCATGCATATTATGCATTCACATGTTTATCACTCCACTTAAATTCTACAAAGTATGTGTGGTCAAGTGATCTAAGGTAATACTTAAATACAATTTATATTTCATCTTTTAAAACTTTTTAATTGTATGGGATATGATGCCGCCAGCAGGTCAATCTGTACCTGTGAGGTGAGTGCATCAGCAGCCTGATGGCGCTTTCAGACTTCCAGATATACTAAAATTGCTGCTGTGCCTTTGGCCAGACCCCAAAAACTTCGGGCAAAGTTTACCAAGAAAGTAAATGGCCAAAAGTTAGGTATGTGGGAAACACACCCACAAACCACCTCCGGCTCAGCTATATAATTGGACGCATGGCCTCTGGTTCCTGATCAAACTGCTTAACGGCCATGATCCCAGAGACTCAGAAACAAATCTTGAAACCCAGTGGCTTTTGGCAGAAATGCATCCGGTCCCTGCAGTAGGTTACTGGCGCCAGGCTACCCCAGGTGGGAATAGGTTTCGTGCCTTGGCCTGTTCCCTCCAGAGGCCCGGTAGCCATCATTCTCCAGAGGCTATTGGACAGTCAGGTTTGGGCCCACAGTGACGAGACATGTGGGGCCTCAAGGGATGGGGGTGGAGCCAGCCCTTTCTCTCCACCCCAACGAGACCCTGAGTCGCCACCCACGAACGGCCTCTCTGGCTCGTGATAAGCTGTTTAGCAGTCATGATCCCAGAGACTCAGAAACAAGTCTCAAAACCCAATGGCTTTTGGCAGAAATGTGTCTGGCCATGCAGTAGGTTACTATTGCCGGACCACCCTAGGGGGGAAAGGGTGTTGTCCCTCTGCCTGCTCCTCCTTGGCGGTTCAGTGGCTGTCATCCTCCAGAGGCCATTGGACAGTCAGGTTTGGGCCCACAGGTACGAGACACACGGGTCTCACAGGATGGGGGTGGAGCCAGCCCTTTCCTCACCATCCCAACAAGACCCCAAATCACCGCCCATGAACGGCTTCTCTGGCTCCTGATCAAGCTGCTTAATGACCATGATCCCAGAGGCTCAGGAACAAATCTCAGAACCCAGCAGGTTTTTTTTTTTACGAAATCCCTCCAGATTTAATTGTCAAAATTTTAGAATTTCAAAGTTGCGTGGCCACTACTGCAGACACGTGACATCATATATTATTCATAACCAGCAATAGAAAACAAATTGTCTACTGTTGCCTTTTCGGCAGATCTGAGTTTTGGGCTAAAATCCCAAATAATAATTGTGGGTCTCATATCAAAATATTGAATGTAATCAAAGAAGAGAAAAAGTAATTTTGAAATCATCTGCCCCACAGGTAGGGGGAGGGTGTGGGATGGAGGTGTACTGGGGTTTTTGGTGGTGGAGAATGGGCACTGGTGAAGGTACGGGTGTTTCATTGTATGACCGAGACTTAAACCCAAAAGCTTTGTAACTGATCTCACGGTGATTAAATAAATAAAATTATTAAAAAATGGAAAAAAAACTAAGATGGAGTTCATACACAATTCAATCAGACTAATCAATGGCTGAATAGATAGCAGTACTCCTACATAAAAAACTTTTTAATTGAACCACTGTGAGATAAACCCTTATAAAGCTGTTCATGATCAGATTTTAGTCATACAGTATTCCAATGTCCATACTTGGTGAGGGCCTACACCCTAAAGAGCAACAGGGTAAGGTCAGTTCTCAGGAGCAAAATGCTTTCACACCTCTCTCGCTTCTTTTGGGCATTGTTGTTTGCAATATTGATAGGTTATCAAGAATATCCCGTTACCTACTTTTAACCCTCAGTTCTTGTCCAGCGTGATCATTCTTCTCTATCTTACCTATCCTCAGCCACACACACTTGTGGATAGATAACCATTGACCAGTCCTCCTAACCCCTGTTTTCCCTGGTCATGTATTTCATAGTTTGTGTTTCAGTTTCATCTATCCTTATTTAAAAGAAAAAGTCAAGAGTACAAAGAAAATATGGCAGCCTCAAACATGTTCTTAGTTGCCTCTGGGCATTAAAGAATCTTTGGGTGTTTAACAGAATGAGTGTTTTTTCCCAAGTGGAATGAATACCTTACTTAAAATGCTCTGAAGCTCTTGCCAATCTATGCCTTAGAAATGTCTATTCTCATGCCTCATCCTGGGGTTCTTATTAAATGTACATACTCAGGGCCTCAAATTTTTAAACAGGGAGATTGTTCTTAGAAATGAGTAATCCCGTGAGAAATCCAGAGACCTACTGGCTGAGCCTGGGAAGGCTAAGTAGCTTAACACTGACATGCACTCTTCCCTGCTAACCAATAGGCACCCACACATGTCTATGGTACTGTTCAGGAACACTTCCTGCTTTGAGCTTTCTGGCCGCCAACGCATCCTCTTCCAAAGTAGTGGGTGTGGGTGGGGAAGTTCAATCTATTGACTGCTTATTACTTTTTTTAAGGTATCATATCAACCAGCAATTTGAAGCAAAAGCTCAGCTGGTTCCTTTTTATGAAACCGCAAACGTGTTTTGTTTCCTTTAAAGGAAAAACAAATCAAAGGCAGTTCTCTGAATAGGTTAAAGGTAATAAATTATTAAACCAAATGATTGAATAACATGGGTGAAAAACAATCCGTTACAAAGAACTCCTACTATAAATCTCAGCAAAGCTAGTCAAGCCAAAGCTAGTTGATCACATCTGTTACTAGTTAGATGTAAATTTCAGATTACAGATAAAAAAATTAAATTGCTTTTGAAACTAACAGGCTTAAAAGAAGAACAATCAAAATAAAGCTCTTAATAAAATGGTGATGTATTAAAAGAACTGGAAATATTTACTATTGATCTGGGTTTGATTTGAAATTTATTATTTTTAACTTCCAAGGCATTCTGATATGAATTTTTAAAAGGAGGAGAAGGAATTAGGTAAAGATCCAATTTGATTTTAAATCTTAAGTTGCCTCCAATAGATTCCATTTGCTGTGAAAGTATTTCAAAGTCTTTAAAAATATCAGGGAATGGACTTTGAAAACTCTAAATCCAATAATTTTCATAGGCCTCTTCATTTTCTGGGCAGAGTCTCATCCCTTGATTCTGTGTCTTACAAAAGACCAGCTGGTTTACATTTATTCATTTGCTCCCATTGATTTGGATTCTGGAGTTTCGCTCCTGACCTTTCTATTATAGTTCACTGAAGAATCACTTGTTCCCACTCCCACTGCTCAATGCCCTAGCAAGATGATTCAAAATTATCTTGGACATTTGTTGGTGGGGTGAAGGCTGCATTTTCCTCTTGAGAACTGACTTCACCCTGTGTACATTAGGGTGTAGGCCCTCACCCAGTATGGATTGTTTGTTTAGTCCAAATGGTTAGGGGAGACAGAACCTAGTTATATAACTTCTGAATCTTGCTTACTGTTCCTTAGCCCTTCTGCTAACAATTTACTCCTTTGAACCACCTCTACTTGTTACCTTGACAAAATCAAAGAGGGTGAAAAAGGATGCTGCCATTAGGACTTTAGTTCAGCCTACATTTTCCTGAAGCGGACTGTATACCCAATTACATACCACTATCTCAAAAGAAATCTGAAAGGAAAGAGAAGTGAGGGAAAAAGAGAATCACACATCTGGCTTCTCTTGTAAGTCTGTCCACAGCACTGAGTTTCACAATTCAGCTATCAAGTCCCCATTTTACCTCACTGTGAGGCTGGGATCTTCTCTGGTTCCTTGAGTTCTTGGAAATCTTCACATATATTGACCTGTTTGAGTGTCTAGTACTATAACAGTTCTTGCAAATGACAGTAAAAGGCAGCCAACATCATCCATATTTTCTAATGTGACCCAGTGGACTTGATGAGAAAGAAATAGCTGGTGATTCATCCTTCTGAGGCCATTGTCTTCTAGCCAAATCAGTCAATTCCTAGAAACGCCCCAAGTGAGGCTTTTTTTATTCTACCCTAGCCCCACCTTAAGTGATACAACCCACCCTAGAGATGTTATTGATTGGGATGCAGACAGGTCTCCCTGGGTATGATGAGGTGATGGGAATAATGAGAAACACATCCAGACCCAGTCATGGCTTGAAATCTCCAGAATGCCTCAGCACTCTCACAAACTGAGAGAACTTCTCAAAACTTCATTTTCAGTCCTATGCACCTCTTATCCTGAAGTCGAGCTCCATTCCTTATAGTAGGAGATAGTTTCCTTTGGTTTGCATTATAGGATATTCCTGCATCCCCTTCCCTTCACAGGCCTTTGTCTTGTAGTCCAATACTTGATGCTCAAAAAATTTGAAGCCAGTGATTCCACTTCATCTCAACAAATGTGAGATCACACAAGAATACCTGAAGGGCAGGCAGTGATTTGTTGTAGCTGAATCTCTGTAGCCACTGTAAAGAGAGGACACTGATGGGGATTAGATATATAAAAGACACCCTTTAATAACTTTCCCAATAGGTGTGAATCCTGGCCCTCTCAATCTTCTTTAAGTACCTTCCACTTGTACCTGAGAACAGGACAGCAACATGAATTTTCATGTAAATCTATGTTTACAAATCATACTCTCATAGAATTTTACATTTCCAGTGGGTTTATTTCAAGACCTGGAAAGTACAGGTCCACTGTGAAGCATATTAATTTTTACATATAGCTTTCCTGGGTAGCAAATCTCAAGGGAAAATTTTCACTCATAGAAGCACATGTATTTGGGTGATATTAGTCCTCAATATAGCTTCAGGTACTAATACTACATCGTACTTAAAGTTCCGTATCATATATTCAAGACAGATAAAACTCTACTTTCATTAATTTAATTCTCCTTCAAAATTTATTGATGACCCAATATGTGTCAAGAACTTGAGAGTATTCAGAGGTCACTGCTAAGAGCTTGAAGAGTTGCTGATTGTAAAAGAGGTCCAAACTGTCTTTTAGGTTAATATCTCCATGCCAGGTCATGATAAAAAGGAAGACACATTTCTTAACACGTTCAGGAATTGAGATTTGAGCACAGGGATCCATTTTAGTTCTCTAGTCTTTAATTCTCATTCCATTTTTTCCCTTTCAGTATGTGTTTCCAATGGAAAAACCTATTCTCATGGCGAGTCCTGGCACCCAAACCTCCGGGCATTTGGCATTGTTGAGTGTGTGCTATGTACTTGCAATGTCACCAAGCAAGAATGTAAGAAAATTCACTGTCCCAATCGCTACCCCTGCAAGTACCCTCAAAAAATAGATGGAAAGTGCTGCAAGGTGTGTCCAGGTAAAAAGACAAAAGGTACGTTGAACAAAAATGATCATTGTTTGGGGGAAATAACAGTTTGTGCTTATTAACTGCTTAGTTGAACTGCCCTCAGATCAGAATTCTGGTGTCACTCCTGGCAGTGCTCAGGTAACCAGTGTCAGGGGCTGAACCTAGGTCTTCATCCTGCAAAGTATGCTCTTGGTTCTTTGACTTATCTCCAGACTGTGTTCACTGGGGCCCCTTGGAGGGGGGCGTGTTGAGTTTCCCTCCATGCCTTGAGCAAAGCCCTGGCAGCCAAAGAACTCCGGAACCCAGCCACAGCCATGCTCAAGGTCACTCTCCACACATTCAGATGAGCGTCACACATGTAAGAACTTGCTTAGGAACCCAGGAGTGCGGGACCTGGGGATGAGATCTCCAAGCCTTCTCAGATCAGGACTGGGCCTCCTCCACCAAAATCCCCCATTTTCCAGTAGCTAGGCAGTTACACCCACAAACTGGCCCCAGTTACCATGCAATTCCATTAAAGGCCAAAATCCAGAGACTATAAAACAAAACTCCCAGAAGCTCACGGCCGCATTTACGGTCGTGTGACCTCTTATAGTCTAGTTCTCCCTCGAGGAGAACCTGGCAAGCTACTGAGAGTATACCACCCGTATGGCAGAGCCTGGCATGCTCCCCATGGCATATTCAATATGCCAAAAACAGTAACAATAATGAGTCTCATTCCCTTGACCCTGAAAGAGCCTCCAATGCAGCACCTCTGGGAAGGACGAGTAAAGAGAGGCTGCTAAAATCTCAGGGCTAGGAGGAATGGAGATGTTAGTGGTGCCTGCTTGAGCAAATAGATGAACAATAGATGACAGTGATACAGTGATCTTCAGACCTTTCCATATGGTCATTATTCATGTTTTTAAGCTTCATAAATACAAATAAACTGCCATGTAATTAAAATGATAGTAAATGTGTTAACTAATTTTATTTTTCCTCTCTCAAGGGGATGATCAGTAAGAAATTAGTACTCAAAAATACTGGGGACATGCTGTGTCTACCATATCTCTGAATCCTTGTAGTACCAAACACCAAACTTATGCCTTGTTTCCGAAATAATAGAGAAATCAGGTTATTATAATTATATACGATGACTAGCTTTATCTTTATTTTTTATCTCTAACTCATCAGAGCACCATCACATCTGCTTTCTTTTGAGACAGAATGAAGACAAATTGAATACAGTAGAAAGGAAACTAGATTTTGTTTCTAATCTAAGTGAACCTTGGAAATGTGCTTGTTATGCTTTGGTTAAGACCAGTCACATCTGTACAATGAAAAGTTAACACAATTGGTTTCTAAGCTCTATTCCAACTGTGGAATTCTAGAAATGAGGACGATTACTAAGGTTGAGAAAACTGGTGTGTATAAAGTATCTTAGAATAAAATAGATAATAATTGTATTTCAGCGTGCTTTCACCCCATTGACCTTTCAACCTGTAGAAAATGTTGATTGCCCCCAAATGAAAATTATTGTTCAAATGATGTTTTAAACACAGAAGATAGATTCAGTTATAACAAAATATCGGGATTAATAGAGTATGGGATTGGTAATCAAGCATTTTATCCTGGCACTGACACTGGTTTCCTATGTGAAAAAAATGGGATTTATGTCTCAAAGCCTCAGTTTCTCCTCTGATAAATGAAATGGTTACAGTAGATTATTTTTTATGTATGAGTACTGCTATTTATTCAGCACTGATTAGCTGATTGAATTGGGCATGAACTCCATCTTACTTTTTTTCCCAATTTTTATAATTTTATTTATTGGATCACCATGAGAGCAGTTACAAAGCTTTCGAGTTTAAGTCTCAGTCATACAATGAAACACCCATACCTTCGCCAGTGCCCATTCTCCAACCCCCAAAACCCCAGTATACCCTCATCCCACACCCTCCCCCTACCTGTGGGGCAGATGATTTCCACATTACTCTCTTTCTACTTTGATTACATTCAATATTTTGACAGCAGACCCACCATACTATTTGGGATTTTACCCCAACACTCATATCTGCTGAAAAGGCAACAGTAGACAATTTGTTTTCTATTGCTGGTTATGATTAACATATGATGTCGTGTAGCTGCAGTAGTGGCCATGCGACTTTGAAATTCCGAAATTTTAACAATTAATTTTGGATGGATTTCTGCCATAACCTGCTGGGTTTCGAGATTTTTTCCCGAGTCTCTTGGATCATGGCCTTTAAGCAGCTTCATCAGGAGTCAGAAAGGCCATTAGTTGGTGAGGCCCTGCATGTCTCATCACTGAGGGCCCAAACCTGACTGTCCAATGGCCTCTGGAGGATGGCGGCCACCAAGCCATCTAGGGGGAGCAGGCAGAGGGATAGCACCCTTTCCCGCCTGGAATGGCCTAACAACAGTAACCTACTGCGGGGTCCGGACACATCTCTACCAAAAGCCACTGGGTTTCGATATTTGTTTCTGAGTCTCTGGGATCATGGCCGTTAAGCAGCTTGATCAGGAGCCAGAGAAGCCATTCGTGGATGACGACCCAGGTTCTCATTGGGACGGGGAGGAAAGGGCCGGCTCTACCTCCATCCCATGAGCCCCCACGTGTCTCGTCACTGCGGGCTCAAACCTGACTGTCCAATGGCCTCTGGAGGATGGCGGCCACTGAGCCACCAAGGGGGAGCACGCAGAGGGACAATACCCTTTCCCCCCTGGGGTGGCCCGGCGACAGTAACCCATTGTGGGGTCCGGACACATTTCTGCCAAAAGTCATTGGGTTTCGAGATTTGTTTCTGGGTCTCTGGGATCATGGCCGTTAAGCAGTTCGATCAGATACCAGAGAGGACATGCTTCCAATTATATAGCTGAGTCGGAGGTGGTTTGTGGGTGTGTCTCCCACATACCTAACTTTTGGCCATTTACTTTCTTGGTAAACTTTGCCCCCAAGTTTTGGGATCTGGCCAAAGACATAGTAGCAATTTTGGGGTATCTGCAAATCTGAAGGCACTATCAGGCTGCTCATGCATTCACCTCACAGGTACAGAGTGACCTGCTGGCGGCACCATACCCCCATACAGTTGATTACTCTTAAGACCTGCCCACCTACAGCGTTCAAGGAGCCAATGAATTAGTTGCTTCCAGATAAATGACTTTAGCATTTCTTATAACCTCCCAACCTGAAAACATTTAAAAAACACATATGAAAAGCAAAATTTAATGTAGAAAGAGCTCATGCTTTCCCTTCCATTCAGTTTCATATGAGTAGTAGGTAAACATGAACTGAGTACTTCTTCCTGTAAACCAACGTTCCCAAACTTCTAGCACATTGGAATTTCCTGTTCACCTAGAATACTTCTAAAAGTCCTATGTCGTATCCCCGAAGATTATAACCTAATTTATTTGGGGTGTGATATAAGCTTTGAACATTTTTTAAAAAATGCATATGGTACTAATGTGTAGGCACATTTAGGAACTATAGCAGTAGTCCCCAGGGTGATTTATGGTCTCACTATAAGTAGTGATTAAAGCAACACTTGGTTGTTAGTTGGAAATGCAGTTGCTCAGGCCACCACCCCAGATCTACTACATCAAAAGCTGATTTTTTCACAGGCTCTTCTAGGTGACTACAGTGTATATTAAAGTTGAGAAGTGGTAAAAAAAGGTAAAGGTAAAGGCCCTCCCGTTGTTCGTCGATTTGCTTGAGCAGGCCCAGTAACATCTCCATTGGAGACTTTGTTGTTACTGTGTTTGACATATCGGATACGTCATGGGGAGCTTGCCAGGCTCTGCCGTGCGGGCGAGATACTCTCGGTAGCTTGCTGGGCTCTCCGAGAGGGGCGGAGGAATCGAACTCGGATCGGCCATGTTGGCTGCGTGCAAGGCAAACGCCCTACCACTGGCGCGCACCTGTAGTCCCAGCTACTTGGGAGGCTGAGGCCGGAGGATCGCTTGAGTCCAGGAGTTCTGGGCTGTAGTGTGCTATGCCAATCGGGTGTCCGTACTAAGTTCGGCATCAATATGGTGACCCTCTGGGAGCGGAGGACCACCATGTTGCCTAAGGAGGGGAGAAGTGGTAATTTATGTAATAAATAGAATATTTTTTATGTAATGACCCTCATCTTCCAGATGAGGAGCAGGTGTGAACAGGAAAGATAAGAACTATGTGATATAGAGTATAATAGTGTTCTTCAACCACAAGGACATAGGGCAGAAATGTTGAAAACTGCTGGTCTACCACCTCAGTTATAACTACTGGTTCATGGATGTATGATGGCATGCACAGCAGACACTATTTCACATGTGTAAAAATGTTGAGGAACGTTGGAGTAGGGAATTGAGCATTGAAACTGATGAGGAAAGGTACTCATTAAGGGGAGAGAGTGCACATTGAAGATGCTAAGGACATGGGGACTCCAACAACGCTAGTATGTTATGATTTACAAATTGTAATTTTACAAGTTCCTCAAACTTTTTAATGCTACTTAGAAGTAGTTCTCGAGCTCGAGTGGGCCCAGTAACGTCTCCATTGGAGACTTTGTTGTTACTGTGTCTGGCATATCGAATACTCTCGGTAGCTTGCCGGGCTCTCCAAGAGGGGCGGAGGAATCGAACTCGGGGTGGCCATGTTGGCCACTTGTAAGGCGAACGCCCTACCACTGTGCTATCACTCCAGCCTTTACTTTACTTACTTACTTACTAGAAGTAGTTCATAATTTTTTTCTGTGAAGAATCTAGTGACTAAGTCATGTAAGTAATATAAAACAATAATTTCCAATAAAATTCAACCATTTCCTAAACTATGCCAAGGTAAGATAAGCCTTCTAAAATCTTTCATTTTGTTGTGTGCTTATGATTTTTCTTATTCAGGTTATTCAAATAAAGGGAAAAATTAAAAAGGTGTGAGAACACAATGAAGACTAAATAAGCATTACCTTTTAAATAACTGGACTCTAGGGTTGCTGATGTTTATTAAATGGTAAATATTTAAACAAAATTTTATATATATTGTGTGCAGTATTGTAAATCCACTAAAATCACTATACAGGTGCTAGAGAGATAGTAAGCAGATAAGGCACATGCCTTAAGGCGAGCAATTCATCTTCTATCCCTGCACACATATGATCTCCCAATCAGTGTCATGGAGTGATCCCTAAGCACAGTTCCAGGAGTAAACCCTGAGAACAAACAGATGTGACCCCAAAATAAAACCAAAAAAAAATCACTGCACTTCCAGGCCTAATAGCACAGAATGATGCTTGCAATGTAAGTTTTAACCATAAGGAGCAAACTGTAGCACTGTAGCAATGTCCTCCCTTTGTTCATCAATTTTCTCGAGCAGGCACCAGTAACGTCTCATTGTGAGACTTGTTACTGTTTTTGGCATATCAAATATATCACGGGGAGCTTGTCAGTTTTTACCATGTGGGCGGGATACTCTCAGTAGCTTGCCGGGATCTCCATGAGGGGAGGAAGGAATCAAACCCAGGTAGCCCCTTGCAAGGCCAACACCCTATCCTCTCTGCTATCTCTCCAGCCCAAAGAGCAAACTACAAAAGAATATGTATATTATGATCCCAATTCTTAATTGTAAAATGAAAGTGTCTATAATGTTTAGATTAAAACATAAGGGCTGGAAGAGCACATGGTAGAATATAAACGTGGACAAACTTGGATAACTGAATTATGGATTTTTTCTCCTTTTTAAGGTATTTTCTAAAATTTTAACAATGAACATTATTTTTTGTAATTAAAACAATAACAGCTATAATTATAAGAACTATACTGCTGAATCCCAATTAACAATATATTGGAAGAGTCTGATTGATTAAATCTTTTTCTCTGGAAGAGCAACTCTTCTTATTTTCTTCTTTTTTTGCCTTTTGGGTCACACCCAGTGATGCACAGGAGTTAGTCCTGGCTCGGCACTCAGGAATTACTCCTGGTGGTGCTCAGGGGACCATATGGGATGCTGGGAATCGAACCCAGGTGGTCCATGTGCAAGGCAAACGCCCTAGCCACTGTGCTATCACTCCAGCCCCAACTCTTCTTATTTTCATACTCTGCTAGATATGTATAGAGATAATGTATTGAGTAACATGGAATGAGAGTTTTTCTGCTCCATTCTGTGCACCTGTCTCTCAGTGAGCTAGACCTGGGTGTCTATATATTGAATCTCTCCATAATGACTGTGTCTAGCAATAACCATGATTCACATAAACCAGAATACATTCTGTAGGTACTCAACAACTTCAGAACTTCAGGAGCTCATTAACTCCTCTGTGCATGTAATCTGGAAACATCTATTATGTGCAAGACTATGTTACAGGCATTGAGGATAGATAAACAAGATAATTGAAGTTTACTTGGACAGCATTCTCCTCTCATTCTAGTGGGAAAATAAAGACAATGAACACAAAGTAAAAGATCATTTTAGGTTGTGATGAGTACCGAGAAGAAAAAGCAAGTAGAATGGGGCAGGGAGAAGGGACAATTTCAAAAGGGCAGTCAGGGAAGTTTTTTCTGAAGAAGTGATATTTGAGTAGACTCCTGAATAGTGTGAAAGGATGACAAGTGGAAAGATCATGACATTGTTGGCCTTTTAGAAAATAACACATGACACAGAGGAAAAGGAATGAAGAAGTGAGGAGGGAACAATATTGATGTAAAAAGAAATAGTAAACTAAGTTTTCTTTTGTTGATAAGGAAAAACTAGATAAATAAAAGTCACTGATGACCCAGCCAAATGTTTCATTGTAATGAAATATTGCAAGTTCCTCCAAGGAACAAACTAAGGCCAAAATAAAAGATGTGAATTTCTCTCTTTCTCCCTCCCCCTTGCTCTGACAGAGGCTGGCCTTGTCTTACATATCAGTGGCTACCTATAGACTTGTCCGTGCCTTCCACTTCCATTTTCACCTTTAGCCCCCACCATAACATGAAATACCTGGGATTCTTAGAATTACATGCCCCTTTTGGATTACAACATAAAACCACCCCTTTATGTCTTTAACCATTTACTGGGCTAGGAACATGCTGCTTCTTCATTACTTATTAAAAAGTAGTTTATTTCCTAAGACTAGAGAATCAGGACATCGTTGTTCTCAATGGAAACTGGAATAGTCAGAAAATAATTCAGGATAACTCTGATAATAAATGAAAATAGATGAACATTGAGTAATCAGAAAGCACCTTGAGGTGAAGGATTTAGAACAAAGCACATGTTTCCTAGTCCATAGTTAAGAAGGTGTATGTTTCCTAGTTAATACTTCCAAAGACAAACATTCTTTACTTACTCTATATTTTAAAGTGTCAGTCAGAGTTGAATAACTGATTGAATGATTTTTGTAATGTCTTTTTGATGAGTCATTTATGGAAGGGAGGGTATTGTGGTGCAAGGTTACTCTTTAGGAAATAAATAGAATTTTTAGCTCTGTTAAAGGTCCTGATAATACAATCCTAAATTTCCTACAGCAATTATAGCCATAATAAATTATATACAGGTGAGTCAGATTCAGCAAACACACTTGGCTATCATTCCAAGGTTGATAAATATATAGAGCATCCTATACACTCAGTGGCATCCTCCTTCCCCCAACAATTTGAAAGTTCTGCCATATCTCTTAATTACCTGCTATCCAAAAGAGTGGCCCACTGAGTTGTTAAATATTTGAAAATAAAGTAGATTGAATTTACGATTCTGTACAAATTGAGTAACCCAACTTGGAATCATCAAGGGAAGACTAGTTTTATCCTAGTGCCAAAATGGTGATGAGAGTGTGGATACTAGTCAAGTCAACAATAGACATGCAATCACAATTTAATTACAACTTCTCTCAGTGCCTTTGATCTCCTAACATTAGCTTCATAATTTGGATCATAGGTGCAAGGCACTCAACACTCATCAGTTTTATCAGTTCTTTTTGATAGGTGGCTTCTGCACACATTGAAAGTCTTCAGGGTATCCACAATTTCTCCTTTTTCCCCTGATTTGAAGTGGTTGCTGATTAGGAGGTCTGTAATAAAACTTAATTCACAATAACTAAACAAAAGAAGCTCTTTTTGGTAGAAGTTGAAGGGGAAGGTAAGGAAGAATGGGAGTATTAGAGGCCTGGTATCTTTATCCCAGAGAGTTGAAATCCAGAAATTTAGTTTATACTTTAAATGACCCATAATTGAGGGATTTGATTATTTTTTTGCATCTCCCAACCAATCATTTGGCATAGCATACATATGATTAATCTAACATCTAGCTTTTGGCTCTAGTGTTGATCCGGTATTATAGTTCCTCTCACAAACAAATCAAAGAGCGTTCAGAGATGTCAAGCCAATTTGGATGATGCTTGGGCAAGTATATGCACATAAATGAGTATCATAAATGTGTTCTATGTATACTTAAATGATGTCAAGGAACTTAATCAAGGGTCTTTCTCAGCCCATTTCCTGGATTTCTGTTGTCAACACTGAGCTAGACAGATTTTGAACATTACTTAACAGGAAAAATCCTATGGTCTCTCAAGTGTCTAAGAGATTCATACCTGACCACATTCTTCATGACAGTTGGTGCCCCTCATGTTGTTGTGTGCAGATCCAGTTTAGTTTGTGGTCCAGCACTCTTCAGAATTTGTCATTATATGGGCTTAAAGTAATGCGTATATCCTCTTCTGTTTCTTGGCAACTGTTACAGACCAACCTAAGCTGAGCCAAGTAAATATTGGTAAAATTTCCTTTCCATCTTTGTAATAATGTTATAAGTTACTTACTTTTGATGAGTGTGAGGTGTTAGGAACAGTGAATAACTTAAATGTAGAAGTTTGTTTCTAACCATGACAAAACTATACTTGGTTTCCTGATTCCAGAAGAACTTCCAGGCCAAGGCATTGACAGCAAAGGCTACTTTTGTGGGGAAGAAACAATGCCAGTGTATGAGTCTGTGTTCATGGAGGATGGGGAGACAACCAGAAAAATAGCACTAGAGAATGAGAGACAGCCTCAAGTAGAGGTTCATGTTTGGACCATTCGAAAGGGTGAGCAAAACAACATTAATCTCTTGTAACATTTTTATAAGAGGTACAAAGGAAAGAAAGGAAGAAGCACTTTATTTAAAGTTTGGTTTTAACCTGTTTCAATTTTGGGGTAAGGAAAACATGGTTGTTGTTATAACCTTAAGATGTTTTAAAATTTTTAATTGAATCACCATGAGCTGCCCCATTGCAAAGTTGACCATGATTGGGTTTCAGTCATGCAACGTTCCAACACCCATCCCTTTACCAGTGCACAATTCCTGCCACCAATATCCCAAGTTTCCCTCCTGCCCTACCTCAGCCTGCATCTATGGTAAACACTTTTCCCCTGTGTGTGTGTCTCTCTCTCTCTTTCTTCAGGTACTGTTTTAATGCTGTTACTGAAATTGTATCATGTATTTAACTTTACCCTCTCTAGCACTTAAATCTTGTCAAGAGTGATGATTTCCATCTATCATTATCATAGTGGTCCCTTCTCTGTACTAACAGTACTCCCTCAACTTGTGGCAAGCTTCCTACCATAGAACAATCTTCTGTTCGTCATTTCTACTGTTTTTAGGTATTGTGTTAATCACCTTTAGTTTTTGACTATGGTGTAGTCTCTAGCTTCTTATGCAGGGTCATGATGTTTTAAAATAATTTTTATATCATCAATAAACATTTGCTTTGTATACACATCTTATATACCTCTGTACCCAGGGCTATGTAAAAAATTCTTAGGCAAAAGGGATCATGAGTGGAAAATGTTTATGAATCCCTGACATGTGCCAAAAGTACAGACCCCTAAATTTTGTTGTTTTTCTCATATCACAAAGGACTGGGGGAGAGGTTCTCAAATTTGTCTAAATATCAAAATAATCTTGAAATGGAATTTTAATTACAAGTAACTGGACCTATCCCCAGAGATTCTTATTCATTTGTTGGACATGGAGTCTGAACATGTATGTCTTTTTCCTAAAAGTGTTTTTTCTTTCTTTACTTATTTCTTTTAAAATGGGCATCTAGGGATTCAAACAGTAATCTACTGTTCTATCCAATAAGAAGCATAACAAACACAAAAATCCACTTGTCTTTGTGTTTCTAAGTTACTTGAATCATGCTATGTACATTGCAATAAGACCATTTTACTCTTATTTTGTGATGTAAGATATTTTTATCGAAACTTATTTAGAAAGATGTGAAGGGAGAGAGAGGGAGAAGTGCATGTTCAAGAGATAGCACAGGTTTATCTAGAATGGAAATAGGAAAGCAAAGTAGCATCAAGACAGACAAGCAAGAAACATGTTCAAGGGAGAACAAGAGCTTGAAAAGCAAGTCTCACAAGAACAATTTAAAATATCTTGCCTTCCTACAAGATGATTATAATATCACCCAGATAACAATATTACTTTTGATACCCAATTCTTTTCTTATTTTTCACATTAAATTACCATAGCAATTCACATTATGGGGGATTTGTTGTTGTTGTTATTTGATTATGTTAAAGCATTACTTTAAGCCCATATAACGTCCGAGGTGGCAAAACAGTGCAGAGAAGCGATCAAGGATGATATCAAAGACAGGAGAGCAGCAGTGCTGGTAGATGCGGCAGATGCAGGGAAAAGCATTCATAATGCCCGCCTGACCTTCACCAACTACAAGACCAAGATGACTGCCCTCCGACATCCTGATGGATCTATCACATCTTCCAGAAGGGCAATGGAGAAGATTATTCATAACTTCTACTCATATCTCTTTAATAGCCACGTCCACTTGCCCATATACCAAATTCCACAGGATAGATATGTTGTTCCCAATGTTCTCCCTTCCGAAATCCAACATGCCATTTCGTCGGTAAAGAAACAAAGATCACCTAGCCCAGACAAGGTCAGATCTGAACACCTGAAGAACTTACCGTCAGTACTCATCAATACACTGGCTCGGCTCTTCACATGCTACCAGTCTGAATGCAAGGTTCCATTCCAATGGAAAACCAACAAGACTGTACTACTATACTAGAAGGGAGACATCCACAATATTGGAAACTATCGCCCAATCTGCCTATTGTCTGTCATCTACAAACTGTTCACTCAAGTCATCCTGAATAGGATTGGCAGAACACTAGATGAAGGACAACCATGTGAACAAGCCGGGTTCTGCAAAGGATTCAGCACCATCGATCATATCCACATGATAACTAAGCTCTTTGAGGTTTCTCAGGATTTCAAGATGCCGCTCTGTCTAAAGTTATTGACTTAAAGAAGGCCTTTGATTCTGTTGAGATGGAAGCGGTCACAGAAGCCCTAGCCAATCAGGGCGTACAAACTCAATACATCAGGATCCTCGGTGAGCTCTATTACGGATTCACTACCAGAATATCACCATTTTACAAAGAAGTAATCATCCATGTCAAGAGAGAGGTTCGGCAGGGTGAACCCCATTTCACCAAAATTCTTCAGTGCCACCTTTGAGAACATCATGCAATGACTGGAATGGGAAGGAATGGGAGTAAAGATAGATGGTCGACAACTACACCACCTCTGCTTTGCTGATGACATCGTTCTAATAACACAAAACATTAGCCAAGAGGCACAAATGCTGACGGACTTCGACCGTGAGTGTGGAAGGGTCGGATTACAACTGAATCTCACAAAGACAATCTTCATGAGAAACAGTCTTGTTCCTGATGTTCCATTCACTCTCAACAGAACCACCATCTCAGAATGCAACAGTTATATATACCTAGGTCAAGATATCAACATGATGAATGACCTGGCACCTGAGTTACGCAGGAGGAAGAGAGAGGCTTGGAATGCCTTCAAGACCATTGAAGAAATAACTAAGAGGACAAAGAACCTCCAGCTCCGAGCATATCCCTTTGATTCCACTGTTCTTCCTGCATTAACATATGCCTCAGAGACCTGGGCCCTACGAAAACAGGATGAGAAGATGAGAACGCTATTCGGGTCTCTCAGAGAGGAATTGAAAGAGCTATGCTTGGAGTATCATGCTTCACTCAAATGAGAGATAGAATCCAGAGTTCCGATCTCCGTCAATGCTCAAGAATCAGGGACGCTGTCTCATTTGCCAAGGCATCAAAAATCAGATGGGCTGGATGCATAATGAGGTTTAGAGATGACCGCTGGACTAGAGCCATTACTGACTGGACTCCACGGGACATCAAACGATCGTGTGGACGCCCACCTACAAGATGGTCAGACTTCTTCGTCAAGACCCTGAATGATTGGTTTGAGGCTCTGCATATTCCTAGAACGAGCAGATGCCATTGGGCTACGCTAGCACACAACAGGGATGAATGCAGATATTACTGGCACCTGCTCGAGTAAATCGATGAGTAACGGGGTATCAAGTGATCAAGTGATCAAGTTATTTGGGGGCCAAAACTTGCTTGCTCAGGGTTTTCTCCAGGCCCTCTGCTCAGGGATCTCTCTTGGAAGAGCTCAGAGAACCATATGCAATTCTGGGGATTGAACCAGGTCAGCTGCACTCAAGGCAAGTGTTCTGACCACTATTCTATCTCTCTGCTCCCCAAAGCACAGTCTGTTTATTGTTATATTAAGAGTATTAAAATCATTCCGTGATTATAAAACTCCTGTAAATAGGTATCCAAGTGTAGAGGGGATTTATTTTATGGAAAATATGCACATCATTTTTCTACTGGTTCCAGTATAAGATTGAGAAAGCTCAAATTTTATTATGCTCTAGCACAATGTGAGGAAATGTTTTTAAATGAATTTACTTGGTCCAATCCCAAAAAGATCAGTTTAGTAGGGTCTAATCATTTTCCTTTTTAACTAATAGCCATGTTATTCCAATGCATGTGACACTAGGATCATACATTGAGAAACATCTACTTTAGTACATATGTGGCTTTTTTCCTCTTCCTTTTCACAACAGTCTTTCTTGAAAGACGGAGTTCTTCCCCATCCCTTTAAAAATATGCTAGAACACACATTTCAGATCTATGTTTATTTTTGTTATATGCTGAGGAATGTTGATTTTCCATTTACAACTTCTTTGCCTCTCTGTAACTGCTTACCTAGGACTAAGCACTGTTCTGTTGGCTTCCCTAGCTGGGAGGTCACTATTTGTCACCACACATTTCTCACACCACAGAGGCTGTGCAGTTGTTCTTTTTTTAATTTGCTAGTGTAGCATCTGAATAGCCTCTTGTTCATAGTGATGGGTTAATCAAGGTTTGTGCCCAATGGGCAGAGAAAACCCCAAGCTTTACTACAATGTTCTCTATAGATCTCTTGAGGATTGTTGAAGTAGGCTGATAACACACTACTTCTTAAATGCAAGGATATATTTCAGTTGTTTGTGTGCTATTCTAATAACAGATAGTCTAGCAAAGTTGAGGCTGTGTGTGCTCCCTTACGTTTAATGCTTCCCATTTTAATAAGGGGAAGCTAAAAGAGCTGGGAATATTTCCTAATGGAGATGGGAATATTTACACAGGGGAAAATATGTTTTGTTGCTAGTTCAAGAACAATGATGACTTCTCTATCTACACAATACCTGCCTACAATCTCACTGTTAGCTCCCAATTGCTTATCCAGGAGTAAAGTCCAGAGGTTTTGCAGAAACATATTTTACCCAGACTTGGGGCAAGGGAAAATTTCTAATACTGCCCTTAGCTTCAGAAACTCCAACAAGTACCCATGTTTTATTCCATGTGGCTTTCACTCAGAGGAGAGCCCATGGTCAGCTTCACTATCTCCCTTATCTCCATCCTCTGGAGAACTAGAAGGAAATCTGTGAGCGAAGGAAACAAATGGAGTCAATTATAACATTTGAGCAATCCAAGTTCCTGGTTAAGCACATTACACAGTCCAGCTCTATACTCCTAAGCCCCAGTAATGAGATGATATGGTCAGTCCAAGCAGAAAAAGGGGTTGGTTGTTCCAGAAAGAGTGTGTTTCACCACCTGAACCACTTTTGCTTGCCCCCAGGTATCCTTCAGCACTTTCATATTGAGAAGATATCCAAGAGGATGTTTGAAGAGCTCCATCATTTCAAGCTGGTTACCAGGACAACCCTGAGTAAGTGATACCTCACTCTCTTTATTGACACGGGAAAATACACTATTTTCCAAAGTAACAAAGAGAGCAATAAAGTGTCTTTGTGTTGCTAAAGAACAGTGACCATAAGGAGTGTACTCATGAAATGATGTTCTAGCTCTCTCTGGGTAACTAAATAGTGAACACAAAGTCTGAATGTAAACCGAAAAGCTTGATCATGGTGAATGCAATTTCAGATGTAGTCTAAGCTTAAGCTACCCTCAGGTTAAGGTTTCCTAAAACTCTTTAATAAAAACCGAAGTCTGGAGACTTGACAAAGTTCTCAAGATTCCAGATCTGGAATATTGTGGAACATTTATATCCGGAAGGACATGTCATTTGGTGGTAAAACTGAGAGAGAGAAAACAAATGCACATCAATTCCTCTACTTTATCAAAAGTTATCTTTTACTTCATAACTGCCTCTGGATGGACATGTTTCTTTGAAAGAACTCAGGTACTCAAGTAGACCTATAACCCTCACCCTTTATAAGCTAAATGGAGCCTAGGAATGTGATACTGCTTGGCAGTAGGGGGTGAGAAACCCTTCTTAAGGAATAAAAGGCACAGAATTTTTATCCACAGGGAATTCTGATAGACAAGACAGAACATAAAAATACCTTCAGGGCAAATTGTATAGTTCTGAGGAATTATATACCTAAGTGCTCAAAAGAATCTTCAGAGAACAATGAGATGAGAACCAGGTGGACTTAGTTAAGAAAGGCTTCAGGGAGGAGGTATGTTTTGAAAGAAAAGGGCGTAACTGAACAACAGGTCAGGAAATAAAGTTCAGGGAGAGGCTATAGACTGAGAGAAGACTGAACACAGAAGCAAACAAGAAATGTGGGTGTGAGTGGGTGGTTTGGGTGAGAAACAGTTACAAAGCCCCCATAAGATCTCTGGAAGATGAAAAAAATTCAAGGTAGGAAGTTGTCAGATGGCCTGGAAGAAGCCAATGAAAAACTTATATACAAGGCATGAGAATTTGCTGAAGGATAACAAAGTGTAATGATACATAAATGGTGCTTTAGAAAGTTGTTTTTGGCGGCAAGGTGAATTTTTTTAAGCACCTGCTTAAATTAAGCGAGATTTTGAAGAGCTCAACATGCCCTACAATGAAGCTGGACTTGATCTCCAGACCAGAGAACCCCAGAGGAGTTGGTTTTTTTTTTTCTGAGTGGGGGAGCTTCCCAAGCAGTGGAGGCCATTCCTGGCAATACTCAGCCCAGCTGCCCAAACAACTCAATGCTTACAAGGGTTTGAGGATATGTTGCTGCTCAGGCCTTGGGGTGCAAGGGACCACCCTAGTTAGTGCTTAGATCACCAGGAGAGTACTCACTGGTGCTTGGACAATTTCTCGGCTACAGCAAGAAATGCTCAGGAGAAGTTTTTTGTTTCTTTTTTCAACTTTTCAAATACTGTTTACTTCACTAAAACATGGAGACATGGAAAAGGTACATGTGCTACCTGCCCTTTTCCCACCCTCAACCCTATTAAGGTTTGTTAAAATAAAGTGAATGATGCATTTATGTTTGGTTTTTAGAAAGAGAAAGATATATTTGGTGTGTGGAATGAGAGATGTGGACTTTCAGTAAGAAAGCTGGTGGCAGTCTGCATTAGGAAGTTGTTTTATTTTATTAAGTAGGTCTCTTAGGTATTTTATTAATACAGGGAGGTGATGTTTCTATGTAAGATATCTCTGAGAATAAATTATCAAGGTCAGAATCAAAGAGAGAAAATAGTTTTACAGGAGTAACTTGTATAGTAACAGTTTTAAAGAACTTGTGAATGGTAGAACCATTAAACAATTGGAAACTTTAAAGTAAGCAGATTATGGCAAAAAAGAGTGTTTCAATTGAAACATGTTTAGATTAAAATATTTAGAGACTCTCTGAAAAGAAAATCCAATTAGTCAATTATTTATTCTGCAGGATACTGACAAACTGGGGAGTAGAATTCAAATGAAGGAGTTGGGAGTACTTACATGTAACTGAGATATAAAGGAGGCAGAGATAGCATTATATATACATGTATATATCAATAATATGGCTTTTGAAAATATCAATTTCAAACATGTTTTTGCTGATACTGTGAACAAAGCACTGTGTTAGGCACCCAAGGGACTTGAAATATTATTTAAACAAACTCTTTCCATGAAATATTATTTAAACAACTCTTTCCATAACAGTGAGGATTTGAAGGTGAAGTAGATGGGGTGTGCATCAAAATGTGTGCAGCAGAAGGCAGAAGGTAATGAGATGATCCTGTAGGGTCCCCCGGGGACAAAGAACAAGCCTGGCCTCTTATACAGTGCACCTTTCAGATACTAGCAGACAAAAAGGCTCTTGTAAAAACTTGTTCCTTTCCTGGCCATTCTTTTTTCTCCCTACCATTTCATTGAATCAAAGAAAATAGGGGAAAATGAAGAATCCGGTGTCAAAGGAGCAGAGAAATCAAGTCCTTAAGGAAGCAGGGTCATATGTTAATGTGACTAAAGAAAGAAAAGTGGCTCAAAAATTTGTGAGTTAAGAAGCACATAAATGAACATGGATCAGAAGTTCCCCAGGTTGCAATGCCATAATCACAAAAAGAGAAAAAGACTGAGGAGAGATCTACAGTGGGCAATTTATTAGGAAGAATATTTGACAGGACAAGGTAATAGCAGTAAAGATCTTGCCATTGAAAGACCAGGAAGGCTTTTTACTTTCAGATACAATTTAAATTGTATCACCATGAATTACAGAATTACAAAGTTATTCATGAATGAGTCTCAGGCATACACTGTTCCAACACCAAACAATTCACAAGTGTCCCCTTCCCTCCACCAACATCCTCAGTTTCCCTCCTGTGCCCCAGCCTGACTCTTGGAAGGCACTATTTTCTTTTTTTCTTCTTTCCTTACCTCTTTAGGTTCTGTGGTGTACAAGACTGTTACTGATAGGCATCATGATGTCACTTTACCTCCTTTTAGCACCAAGTCCAGGAACAGGAAGGCTTTTTAAAAATTTTAAAAAGAATGGTTCAGAAATGTAGGATGGTTTACAGTGTTTGACACAGAGGTCACACCAAAATAAAAATATATGTTAAATTAGCATAAAAGAATGTGCAATAGAGAAGTTGGTGATGATATGTTGGAAGTGTGAGACATTCTACAGTGGAAGAAGAGAAAATAGGGGATCGAAAGGATGTGAGAAGACAGAACAGGGAGTAGAAGACAAACAGCTGTGTTTATCTGAAGTGAATGGACTCACATGTGGGATATGAGCCATGGAATGGGGCATGGATTGAGGAATGTTTTAAAAGGGTATAAAGACAGCACACATGCATTGGAGAAATCACAGATAACTCAAGGTTGCTAGAAAAGCAAAAAAAAGTACTGTAAATAACCAAGTAAACCAAACCCACTATATGAGTCCCTGAAAGTAAGGAATGTACCAGACACTCGTTCCCCAAATGCTTTATATGACCTGGTGCTAAGTGAGCTGCCAAAACAGCTAATATCCCGATAGTGTAGCAATTTGTAAGTAAATGGTCAATATGCTGTAAAACTTCCAAACTTAATATCCAGATATTACCTGTGAGGACACAGTTATACATTATACTTGGATTCAACTGTTAAAATGAAAAATTCATAACCCATTGTCCATTTCTCATCCCAAAAATTGGCTTGGAGGTAATACTGAAGAAATAGCATGTCATTTGTATTCCAGCTTCCCAAGTCAGTATATAAGAGGGTGAGAATGAGGCATGCTTATTAGACTTAAAATTGGTTCTGTTCTCTTACACTTTCTGTGCAACTTTGTGTTTGTATTTTAGGCCAGTGGAAGATATTCACTGAAGGAGAAGCTCAGATCAGCCAGATGTGTTCAAGTCGTGTGTGCAGAACAGAGCTTGAAGATTTGGTCAAAGTTTTGTACCTGGAAAGATCTGAAAAGGGTCACTGTTAGATGAGGCAGAGGTATTGGAGAGGGTAAAGCAAAAAACTCAAGCTGCAGCTGGACTGCAGGCTTATTTTGCTTGAGTCAACAGTACCATAAAAACACAAACTCAAATGTAGGTTTTTTTTTTTTCACGACATGCACAGCCTAACTTTCTACTTTATGTGGAGTGGTGTGTCAGCCCTTAAACATCTCCTGCAAGGAGACTAGAGAAATCTTCAATTATTTGTGGAAGGAAGAGATATAGAACACCACAACTTGTTGTCAGGTTAAAGAGTAACAAAACCCCAGGGTTTCCATCAAGAAAGTTTTCCCATGAATGAAAGGGAAGGAAGTGAAATTTCTATTGTACAGCAAACATTAGTGTGGAAATTTTACCCTTTGAATTTCATAATACCTTGTCCTAAAACAAATAAATAATTCCCTATACTCATATACATGTAGGTGTATATATGTGTGCATGTGCTCATGTGTGTGTGTGCACACACACGCACATGCACACACACACACTACATCGCACCATTTGTTTTTGAGGTATAAACTCTCTCTTCCTTTCCCTTGAAAGTAGTTTTTTAATTGCTTATAACTTGGAGGGTAAATAAGGAATTGTATATAGATGTCTCTGCATCTGTGGTGGTGTTGAAGTCACAAAATATGGAGGCAGAGTGAAGATTAAAAATACAATTCTATGCCCATATTCACTTCGAATTGGCTAATAAGTTTTTCATGAATCCAGTTTTTCTTTCTCCCTGAACCTATGTCATCTCCATAGAGCTGTGAGAATTAGGCTAAATTTTCAGGAATTAAATCCATAAAGTACAAGATAATTGTGGAATACATGACGTTGATATAAATCAATGAAGTCCTTGTGTTCTCAAAATAAAAATCACCAGGAAATAATACAATATTCACTAATTTTCTTGAGGTTATAGTTATCTAGTTCAAAGAGTTTGGTTAAAAGATTAAATTATAGAAACACCTTAAAAGGAATGTTTCCTTTCTTCAATTATAGGAGTTGAATTTACTTTGCAAAAAAGGCTCAGTAATCATAAGTTTCTGACTGTTGGCTCTTCAGCTAGTTTAGTTATTTCTTATTTGGGGACATGGGCATTCTGATAAAGATCTTTATCCTAAAATGTTTAAACATTGTCCTCTAATCCACCAGGTATGGATTTGAGTCACAGATCCTAGAGAAAGCTGCTCCAAAAATGTCGGAGTACAATAATAGAGCATAAATTACATGTTCTGAGGCCTGGCTTTAGGAATCATCTTTGCAGAAAAACTATAAATTCTATGTAGCAAAGATCTCAAAACTGCCTTTTAGATTTATCTCCACAGAGGGACATGAATGACCTCTAGTGAGTACTAAGAATTATTAAGAACCCATAAATTCCATATTTCCCATTCCATGACTATAGATGAGAGAAATTTTTCCCTCTTAGGGTGTATGATACCAATGGAGAAATGAAAAAAGTCTCTATGATAACTTGGCATGAAAGATTCTGTTCTCATAAAACAGTTATGGGGCAAGGCTCTTAACAGCCCCTCATACACATTTTTTTTTCAAAATGGAAGGTAGAATATTCTCAGCTGAAATGCCACAGAGCATGCATTGTTGGATAGGGAGTGTGAGGGAGAGGGTGGTAAAGTAGCTGCTGTCTCCTTCCCAGAGGTGGCAGTATTTCCATAATGTGGGAAAAATAACCAAGTAACAGGATCCTGAAGCAAAGGAGTGATTTCCCATTCCCTGATGACTCATCCCAAGCCTTCCCTCCAAGGTGTTCTCTGAAAGTTAAAACTTAAGGGAACACCCAGAGAGCTTCCCTAGATAGAATCTTGCCCTCATGTGCTGAGACACACTTTTACAGAGTGATGTGAGAAGCAGAAGCTGGGAAATTCAGTTAGGCCTACCAGAAACTCTCCATGTTTTATTTTATGTAGGGAGTATAACATAGGTAAAAAGAGACCAAGCAGCCTGCAGCTAGTAGAGAGAAATGGATATGGTTCTTGTGTATTTATTTGTATTATAAACATTTGGAACAGCAAAGATTATAACATCATCTAGCATTTGTAGTCAATTTATAGTTAATGCACATAAATGAGTAAGAGTATTGTAACAGTGTTACCGTTTCACTTTTCTCACAGGACAGGTACCTAAATACGGTACTTATTTATGTAGCCACTGTAATTCTGAATTTTTAAATTAATAAAAAGTTTAATTTCAAAAACTCACATATAGTAATGTTGCATGAGCAATTGATTCTCTGGTCAATGACAGTCTTGAGCTGGGTAACAAGTTATAGGTGCAAATGCTTTTTTATACTCGACTTGACACATCTCTCACTCTACACTATAGCAGAATGGTTGAGAGTGGCAACCTGAGTTTTCAATCCGGTCTCTGTACTTACCAGGTGTGTTTGTCTTTTCACATGTAAAATTGGCATAATAGGTTACTATTACTCTCTGCATACAATTGTGCAATGAGATTTAACTAGGTCAATATATGTAAAATAACTATGATGATGTACAGTTCATAACAAGCATTCATTTATGATTATGAACATTCTAAGTTGCCATTTATTTCTGGCTTTTCTTTTAGCTAGGCATTTAAGGGATTGAAGAGTAATTCACTGATTTAAATTGTTTAAGACCTTAATTTTGGTTTCTACATACTAATTTGTTTGTGACAACATATATGACAAAATATGTTGTATTTTGTCACATATGCTGATTCAAAGTAAATTCCCTCAACTCCTTAATACCAGTTAGATTTGTACTATCACAGAAGAAAAAATATAGGACATCTGAAGTGTCGGGGCTGGAAAGAGATAATGCAATGGGTACTGTGACCTTATACACAGTCAACCCGGGTTCTGTCCCTGACACCCCATATGATCCCCAGAGCCCACCAGAAATAATCCCTGAATGCAGTGCCAGGAGTAAGACCTGAGCATTGCTGTGTGTGGGCTGAACAAGCAAAAAAAAAGTAAATAAATCTGAATTGCCAAATTCTATTAGGACAGAAATTTATGTGTTGATGTCAGCAACACAAAAGTCATTATGATGAAATCTTGGGAGAGTAACAGGAGCAGAGGTCAGAAGTAAGTGGGGGAGATGAGAAATTGAAGAGAGCAGCTAGAGACAACTCTTTGGAGAATCTATATCACAGAGAGTGGAGCAATAAGGTGAAGGAAGTAACTAAGAGAGACATGAAGTGAAAGGTAAATTTTTGTCTTAAATATGGGAAATACTTTGTCATGTCTGCATACTGGAGAGAGATCCTATAGAAAGGGGAGGGTTAAAGATAACAGATAAAGGATGATTAATCTGTTGTGTGAGGAGAATGAGAAGCTATGTCTCTATGTTTAACCCTCAAAACACATTCTTGACCTACAACAGGGACAGAATTACTTCATTCTCTTACCCCAATTTAGGTGTTCCTTGTTCCTTTCCTCTCAGTTAGCTTGCTGTCCACCCCCTTTTCACACCAAGAATACATCCTTTTACAAAGGTGGGCTATAAATCTCACTATTACTCAACCTCCATTGAGAAGATGCACAAAATTTGAAGCAGCCACCTGGGCTCCATCTTAGATTCTCTTTCCCTCATGTACATTCAGATTTCACCAATCATCAATTTTTCTCATAAATGCAGCCCATGTTTATTGACTTTCAGTCTAGGATCACTTCCTTTCTATTCACTACCACAATCCCACCAACCCCAGGCTCAAGTCTTGCCTACTCACAGATGCTGCACACCCCTTTATTCCTTTCTTGCTTTATTCCTTCTTCACAATGTCTACTGCTAGGAAAAATCACCATATACTTCCTCCATTATCACAAATCTTCTATAACTATATAAGCTGTGATATCACTGGTGGTGGGTTCTGCTGCTGACACTCCATGTAATCATCCTATGGTGGTGGTGCTCTGGAATCTTCAGTGTTCCCCACTGGCATCGGCATCGTATCCTGTGCCCTGTAACACTGTCCTGTGGCACTGTCCTCCCGTTGTTCATTCATTTGCTCAAGTGAGCACCAGTAACGCCTCCATTGTGAGACTTGTTGTTACTGTATTTGGCATATCAAATACGCCATGGGGAGCTTGCCAGGTCATTCCGTGTGGGCGGAATACTCTTGGTAGCTTGCCAGGCTCTCCGAGAGTAATTGAACCCATGCAAGGTAAATGCCCTACCTCTGCCATCGCTCAGTGCTGTGCTATCCTGTGCTCAGGGGAGCAAATGATCTCCCCTTCGTACCTGTGATATTTATTACATTTTGCCATTTTACATTAAACTAACTATCACATATTTATTTATTTCATATTATATAGACCAAAGTGGTATCCTCTCAAGCCACAGAGTCTACTGGAGCTTATCATAGAAAGTGGGGCGTTTCACTTTCAGATCCTTCCTCAATGCTCAATTTCCAGTATGTAGAAACTTTGTTAAGCATAATTCTCCATGACATATATGAAAAATTCCCCTTAACTTCTATTCCCTTTGCTGTTCACATGTTGCTTCTGTTTCCCACCAAATTATTCATAGAAGGTGACTCTATCAAACTTACCCACCCACCCCAGTTATCCTAACCAGCTCAGATACATCTTATACTTTTAAGGTGGCTGAGATGACTTGTGGAATGCAGAAATCTTGCCACTATTCATTCTTTTAGATATTTAAATATTTAATTTTATACTTAAATTCTGAAATATAAATTAAATATAAATTTAAATTCTTAAATATAAAAATTCTTTTTAAATATTTCATACACATTTACAACTATGTCATTGCACATGAATTTCATATCATCACTAGATTGTTCTTTCTTCTACTACTCATCCTTTATACCCAGTAAAAACGTCATGTCCTCTGAAGAAACTTGCCTGTTCCACTACTGTTTTCCCACCATTTTCTCTTTATCCCTGTGTAGTCTTTTTTCTAATCATGCCAACACCATATTTTTGGAATTTATTATGTTCTTAGCACTTCTTTTCCTTGCTTGAAATGATAATCTCCTAATTTCTCTATTTAATGAATACATACTTAACTTTTGGGCTGGAACAATAGCACAGCGGGTAGGGCGTTTGCCTTGCATGCAGCCAACATGGCCGACCCGAGTTCGAGTCTTCCACCCCTCTCGGAGAGCCCGGCAAGCTACCGAGAGTATCTCGCCAGCACGGCAAAGCCT